AGTCTTGTAAACGATTGGGTACCTCATAGGACATCTGGAATTTGAAAAAAAAAACAAAAGAAAGATCTGTACTTGTCTATCAGTTGAGCTTCGTTTTCTAAAGAACCTCTTTTTTACAAAATACCGTAATCAAAGCGCCACTTTACAATCAGCTCAATTTTGGTCAGATTCGATGAAGAATCAAGGCCCACAAGGGAATGGTCTGAGCTCAAAGTTTTGAATCGACTGGAAACACAGTTCATAAAATAGAATCGGCAATGGCGAACAAAACGTCGCAAAAATAAGCCGCTAATATCCACGGAAACGCAAGGAAACTAGCATGCGAAATCGGGATTCAAAACTGGTTCCTTTATAAGGCTTCACTCGCTGCCGTGGAGAGATGAGCTCGTGGCCTAGTGGATAAAAGCTTAGCTCTGTGAAATCGCCGGCAGCAAGTGAAGCCTTATGAAGAAACCATTTTTGAATCCTGATTTTGCATACTAGATTCCTTGCGTTTCCGTGGCTAGTGGCGGCTAATTTTTGTGGCATTTTGTTCGCCATTTCCGTTTCTATGTTATGAACCGTGTTTCCAGTCGATTCAAAATTTTGAGCTCAGAGCATTCCCTTTTCCCTCAATGATACAAAAATCTTGGCTAATTGAATGGAAACTGACCTTATGGTTACGATATTTTATCTAAATTGGTGCTTTTTAGAAAGCGAATTAGCCAATAGAAAAGAAAATACAAAGGAAACAAAACAGAAAACACAAAAAAATCCGGATTTGCACAAAAGCTCAAAGAAAGATGCAATCCAATCTATTATGCATTCAAAAAAAAATAAAAATTTCAAATAGATATGCTTTCTTATCAAAAATTTCATGAAGTAACATCTTTTTTGATTGGACAAGAGAATTTTTACGAAAAGAGAAGAAAAATTCAATTTTCTTGCTCAACAGAAATGTTCAAATGAAAATTTGAAAATAGATCCAATCTCATTTTCAAAATTTCCTTTTTAATTTCTTTTTAGAATCTAAATTAATATTTCTAATGCTGTTTGTAATAAAAAAGCAAATAATATTTGATTTTCAAAAAGATAAAAGATCTTTATCAAAAATCAAAAAAGATTTATCAAAAATCGTCTTTCCAAGGTTCTTTCCAAGGTCATTTTCTTGCAACACAAAATTTCCGATAAAATTCTTTTTGATAACGACTTGTTAATCATTTGTCTTGCACTTTTGTTGCACCATAAAAATCTGATATCCGATATCCGATTTCTTCTTTTCTTTCTCAAAAGCGATCCATTTTTGATATCGTTTGGGTGAAGAAATTCTTTTATTTAAAGAAAAATAGTTTTAAATTTTATTTTATTTCATTTTTAAACAGGATAATAGTTATTTTTGTATACTTTGTTCTTTGAAAACCTTGTAAACGAATCTGGAACTCTAGAGAATGTCCGATAATCGTTTCAGCAGCTTCGAAAAGAATAGCGAGTCGAAATTTACGGTAAATATTGTAGCTTTTCCTTTCTTAGTTTTTTCACGGTCAGAAAGTTAAGATTTCTTTTAGGATGCTGAGCTTCAAGATCTAGAAGTTGACGAGCTTCACCAAATGTTCCAAGAGAAGATAAAGGTTAGAAGGATCCGATCGGATGTCCGGATCTGGATCTCTAAGCAAGCATACGAAGAACAAAAACATGACTACACGACAGTACTATGAACTGTCTATTGGAGTGTCGCGTAGTCGTCGATTCGTTTTTTGCATGTTTGTGTAGAGATCCGGATCCGGAAATCCCTGGTTAGAAGTGCTCAATGCCAAAAATCCAGTCTCTGAAACAAGTTTTCCAACTCAATAGTTTAGAAATCACATTTTCATCTGAATTTCCCACTTTTCAGTTTCTTGAAAACTATGATGATGCCACTGACGAGATGCGTGAGAATTGCCGAGAAGCGGCACGAGAGGTGGGTTGAAATCAAGATCGGGAATAGGATTTGGGCTGTTTTTGGTACAGATCAGGTACAGATCAATTCAGACTAGATTGATAGGCTCAATCTAGGCTGAATGTTCTGATCTGACCCACAAAAGTCACTGAGAAAGTACTGCTAGCTCCTGGTTCTATAACTAGGAAAGTTATAGAACTAAGGTAATCAAAATTCCGCAAAAATTAGCAGCTCATACTTGGCAAGTTTTTAGCATCTCTATTAAAAGGCTTTTCTTGCGCTAGAGCAGGGTCAAGCGATGACCTAGCGGATAAGGCGAAGCTATCAACTCACTTTTTGCTCCGGTTCGAGTCCTAGCCTCGCAAATTTTCCTACTTTTTTGATTTTTGTGAGTTCTGTCAGATGCTAGGCGGAACCTGAACCTGATTGGAGATCCGTGATTGTGAAAAGCTAGTAGAATCATTCACAATTCTAATCTTTCATTTGAATTTATTCAACCAGAATCAATTAGCAGTGAAATTACAATTCTCAGCTAAGTTGATTGAAACTTTCAGATACTGTAAGTTCATTCAATTCTAAAGTTTACCTTTACTGTATCAGTTTTAGTTCTTTAATCCTTTTTCCCTAGCCAAACAGCTCACCACCAATTCCCTTGCCGCAAGAAAAATAGCGCTGTCTTGCAACAGGAAATATTTTGGTCGAACCATCTTAACATTACATCAATCAGTTTGAGGAATAAAGCAAAAAAAAACTGATTAGATAATTGCCATTAAGCATACAGTAAACCGGTAAAAAACTCAGATCATTTTCAACCTTTAGTCTCTCTTTTCTGAGATCGGTCGGCTCTCCGATCCAGATCGGGCCATGGAGAGGATTCGCGGATTTTTAGAGGACCAGGTCTTATCTTTATAACAAATGCAATACTGTAATAATGTTATTACATTTACTAAATAAAGTGCTATATGGTTATTTTATCAATGTAACTGTATTCTTTCATTTTTAGCAAGTTTCTTATCTGTTTGTCCACTTTGTACAAGGCTAAGAGTTTTTAAATCACTTCAAAAAGACAAATTTCAGATCTAAAAAGACTAAGATGTTAAATAGACTTTACTTTGTACTTTAGAAAGCACGAGTCTTGACTCAGACTCAAATCTCGGCTGGAGAGAGTCAAGTTTTTGGATCAAGTGTTGAATTGATCGAAACTCATCCATCTCACAGTGCATCTTCACCGGATCACTCGGAAAGCCCAACTGACATTGAGATTATCAATCTTGAAGAAAGTGATTTGCATCCAGAATCTGAGCAATTGACGCAACCTGAGGTAAGTAGAACTTATTCAAATCGTGTGGACTTTGTGAACATTTCTCGTAGCGCTAGTTTGCTTCTTGTTTCTCGGATGGGTGCCAGACAGTGTTTAGGTCGAAATGAGCACAAAGTACAAGCGAACCCAATTCTTTCCCAGCTATCGTCCATAGGCCATCTTTTAGCAAAGACTCATTCCCCTTTTTGACATTACCGAAGAGGGAAAGACGGTCCTCTACAGAAAAAACCTCGATTCACTTTGTGTACAAATTGGAGAGCGATCGGTGAGTAATCTAGCTGGCGGGATTGAACTCTTGGCCTTTCGACGAAGATACAGAGCTCCTAGCCAGTCGGCTATGGCAGCCATATGAATAAAAAAGATCTAACTGTACAAATCCAGGTGGCTATCATCTCCACAGCTGGCAAGTTTCGTCAAGGAAAGACTTTCTGGTCAAATGTGCTTCTCGACGGACTGCGAAAGGATCAAGCCGATTATGAAGACGATGAGCACATTGGGTGAACTCTGAACACTCAAGCTAGCTAATGAGCTTTATTATAAGCTCAATTTAAGCTCTAAGCTCAATTTGCATTTATTATACAAATTCCAGTGGACAGGACGGGATCCGTTTCCAATCAGGCTACGAACGGCACACGAGAGGGATCATGGTTTGGCCGAAAGTCTTTGAAAAGAAGGATAAAGAGGGCAAAGATGTAAGACTAAGTTAAACTGTTTAAAACTTTTTTAAACCAGATTCTGGTCAGAGCTGCAGCCAGACCAAGTGAAACCTGGCTTTACTGTAGCTAGGCCAGTTTCTGAGCCCGCAGGAGGCTTGAACCGGACTCTGAATCCAGTCAGAACCTTGGCTAGTAGATTTATCCATTTGAATCTAATAGATCTACTAGAATCTGATCTAATCTTATAATTTAAACTCATTCAAAGCCAAATCTTCATTCAGATTGCCGTCATTTTGATCGACACTCAAGGCACATTTGACACATGCAGCGATATCGCCGACTCGGCCGTCATTTTTGCGATCTCGTTGTTGATGTCATCGATCAAGGTACGTTTGCATAGATAATAGGTTTTCCTAGCATATATAGATAGCACAGATAAATAGCATAGATAATAGGTGATCTCTAAAGCACCCAACAATTACTTTTTATCCAGATCTTCAACACAAGAAGCCAGATCGACGCGCAGGATTTGGACGCGCTTAACGTTTTCATCTCATTCAGTCAAAAAACCGATGAGAAAGTTGGACAGGTAATCCTAAAATACTGAAATTTTGAGCTAATTATTCATTAACTCTAAGTTTAATTTTTAGCACTTTATTCTGCTGATGAGAGACGCGCTCGAGACTGGTTTTCAGCCAGAATACATCAATTCTTTGAGGGTTGGTGGGCTCTAGAAAATCTTGCTAACAGAAATTCAATGCACCAGAAAACATGTGTTTCCACAAGCACATCAAAACATGATTGCTTTCTAGTCTGGCACTCGTCGAGCTCCCGAACTTCTTCGGCTGATGAATGGAGTTTTTGACGCATTTGAGAGCGTTGAGTGTTACATGGTACCCCGTCCATCCGAGCACGTCCTTCGAGCGAGTGGAGAGATTCGAGCGGGCGGTCAGCTTTGTCGAGACTTTAACGAGTCGAATCACTTTTAGAAGCCAGTTCCAGTTGAATCAAATCCAACTGAGTCTTTTCAGATTGCGGATCCGATTTCTTGATGGGTCTTTGTGGAGCAGCTAATCACGTTCTCAACAATCTCGTAGCGAAAAAGGTGATGGGGACGGAGTTGACTGGGAGTACGCTGAAGCAATATGTTGAGGTTTGCATTGGGTGATTGTTTAGCAGAGAAACTAGTCTTATAGATCAAGCTGGTAGAATAGTTTCATTATCCTCTTGAAATAATAAAGTTCTATTAGATTAAGGCATTTTCATTCTTTAGAACCTCGTCGAGCACATCAGAGATAACCATCACAAAGCGATTGGGTCGGCTTTCACTGTGGGTTTTTTTGCTTTGATATCAAAGCCTAACTAGGGAACGCTGTTTATTTACCACCTAGTTTTGAAGCCTATTTTGTCGCAAATTTTTCACTGATTCCGAATATCTAAGTCGTTTTTGTGTAATGGATTCAAATTTTCCATTTAAATCCGTTTGAAGTTTCTTTGTGTCAAAAAAAGAGCCAGCTTTTGAGTGTTGCGAATTATTTGACCCCTCGAGTATCAAGCTATTTTGTGTCCCTGAAAGCTGTGTCGTGGCCAAGTGGTTAGTCCGCTAGACTCTGAGTCTTCTGGGCTTGGATCAAGCCCGGACTAGGCGAAGGCTTTTGGTTTTTGTAAAGAAATTTAATAAATTTTTGACTTTAACAAGTTAAAGTCAAAAATCTTGCAAACAGCATAGTCATATTCATGTAAACACTAATTTATGCTAGACAGAAAAGTAAAGCAGAAGCCGCGCGATTACGTGCTCTGGCCGATCTCAATGATTGCCACAAGAACTTGAATAAATCTGAAAAAATATGTAGGTAATAGATTTGCTTGATAAAAATATCCTAAACAAAGTTGCAAAAATAATAAAAGTTTTGGGAATCGCTTTTGGCCAAGTCCGTGCTCGAATCACTCGCTCGCTAGGCTTTCAAAAAAGCTCAGGGCTAAGCGCACTAACCACTTGGCTACAGCTTTAGTTTGCAAGATCTCGATTACGATCGTTAGATCATTAGATCATTAGATCGTTAAATCGTTAAATCGTTAGAGCGATAGATCACTTCAGATCGTTAGATCATTAGATCGCCTCTAATAGCTTTAGACTGAAACTAAGATCTTGTTAACTATTTGTATAGAATCTTTGTACTTGTAAGCATAAATTACACAATGCTACAGTTACAGTACAAGATTTTTTAGCTAAAGTGAACAGAAAATCGATAAATTTCCTATTCTAGGCCACCTCTCAGCTCTACTTCGAGAAAGCGAGATCCGCCTCGAATGAAACCTTCGCAAAACTCTACGAACAAGTGGGTCAAGTTCAAGTTTATCTATGATAAATTAAAATTCACCTATTTACAAATTAACAACTCAGATTACTTTTCTATATTTAGCTCGTTCGTTTACACAACCATCGCCCGATCAAACCGAGCGAGTACAACGAGGCGATTCAGCATATCGTTGAAGAGACTTTTAAGGTTAAAATCTAGATTCAAAACTGATTCTAGATAATATATTTTAAGCCTTAGAGAGAAAAAAGATTATTATATTGAAGATTTAACATTACTTATCTAAAATCTCATTCAGGAGTATCAAACCCATCCGCTTTTCGGTTCAGCCGAGCTAAAAGCAAAGGAATTCGAGAATTTCCAACGGTCACTGCTGGTTTGTTTTTGAAACAAAACTTGATTCAAGAGTCCCCTAAATATGATACTTTTAACTTTAAATGTACTGTAAATATGATACTTTTTAGGACCGATGCGACGAGAAAGAGGAAAATAACCAGCAACGCTACAGAGATGTGCAAATGGCCGATGCTGTTAATGGATCCTATGCGATTTATGAGAAAGAGATGAAGGTTTGTGAATGCTCGAGTACGGTAGATGGGTAGGTAGGTTTGATGCAGACTGTAAATGTGGTAGGTACTGTAGGCCAGGCACTGTAGGCCAGGCACTGTAGGCCAGGCACTGTAGGCCAGGCACTGTAGGCCAGGCACTGTAGGCCAGGCACTGTAGGCCAGGCACTGTAGGCCAGGTACTGTAGGCCAGGTACTGTAGGCCAGGTACTGTAGGCCAGGTACTGTAGGCCCTTACCCTTTTAATCATCATTTTCAAATTCTCATTTAGCCAGACCTCTTGGAGACTCTTCTCGGCAACAGAGAAAAAAAGATCAACTATGTCAATGAACGCCATACGAAGGCTTTCCGAATGGCGATGGATAACTTTGAGAATGGTAAATGAGACTAAAATATATAAGACTTTTAAATCAAACAAAGTTAATGCAAACAAAGTTTTTACTCTTTGAGCCCTTTCAGCTGTAAGCGATTTCCAAAACGAGCTCGAGCTGAGCGATTACAAGAGAGAATTACTCAAAGCGATGATTACGGTAAGCTGAATATGATTTTAGATGAAAACAAAAAAGAAACTAACTTCATAAATATTTAGGTTCGTTTCACCGATCTGCAAAACGACAATGCGATCATGGTGTTGCAAGTGATAGTACGGGAAATGTTTGCTCAACTTGGTGAAGAGTATGCAAGATTGCTCAAAGAGGTGAGGGGAAATTACAAGACTGAAAGGAATGACTGAAAGAAATGACTGAAAGAAATGACTGAAAGAAATGAGTCTACTGCACTTGTAAACTTCTCTTTTATCCAATTCAAAACAATTTTAGCAAATCCCAATCGTAAAGAAACTCGAAGATGTGGACGGAATTTTGCAGAAATCTCAAGAACTTCAGCAAGGTCGTTATGAGCTGAGTAAGGTTGGTATTGAAGGAAAATGAAACTTCACAACATTTATGAATTCTTTTTGATTTTTAGGCTGAATTTCTGAGTGAAGCGTCGATGAATTTGCCAAATATTGATCAAACAATGCTCGCGCAAATGCTCGACAATTACAAGGATTCTGTCAGCGTTGAATTCAGAGTAAGTACTAATACTTGTTACTGTAGTCTTGTAGTAATCACTAATACTTTTTTGTTTAACAATATCCAAAAATAAGATTACGGTAGTTTGTCTAAAATAGATGACTTTTAGAAAACATACTGTACTTTTTTTGATTTTAGAAGCACGAAAACGAGTTTGAGGCTCAAGTACGCACGCATCTCAATATGGAGAAATTGAAGGCGAAAATGGAGGCAATCCGTGCGAAACAACAAGAAACACATAGGAAATTCAATGATGAGAAAAGAAAAACACAAGATGAGCTCAATGAAATGCAAAAGAAATTGGGTAAATGGGCAATTCTTTTTTGGAAAAGATCCATTTTAGATCAAGAGAAACAGGCTCGCGAATCGACCGAGAAGCACCAGGCAATGTATCCAATGATCATGATGATGAAAGGGTTGAATGAAAACTCAATGCGGTAAGAATAAGAGCTGAATTGTTAAGCCTTTCAAATCACGAATAGAATCAAATAACTGCAGGAAAAGCTCATGGTTTTGAATACAATCAGCTGTTTTAGTGTAGAACTTGGATAGGATTTATCCATCACTCTCTTTGTCTTTCTATTTAAGAAATGCTCCTTAGGAAATGACTATTTTTGTATTTATGAATGCTAAAAGATTATAGAAATGGGAGACTTTCATTTTTTAGACAATTGGAACAAATGAGAACTGATCGTGAAGAGCGGGAGAGACGGGAGCAACACCTTTCTGACGAGCGCGCTCATGAGCGTCAAGTCGAGATGGAAATGCTTAGACAGGTAGAAATGGATAAGACAACAGATAATCAGATATTGTAAATATGTTTTTACTTTCTATTTTCTATTTCTTAAACCAAGTCTTTCAGGAGCGAGAGGAAAGGGAGCGCCGAGAGGAAGCTAGAGAAGCTCGCCGAACGGAATTTGAGAATCACCGTCGTGCGGAGGATAGGGTAAGCTTTGAAACTTGAAATAAAGCCAGAAGCTAGGCCTGCTTAGCCGTCTTACAAGCTCAATCTTGCCTCAATCCTGAAGGAACATCTCTGCCATAACTGACAATAAGTTAAGAACCATTACCGCTAAGCCCTATGCGCTAGATCGGTTATCTTCTTAAAGCAATTTATTGTTTCATCTAAAAACAGTACTAGACAAAAACATATGAAGTTCCGGATTTTTTCCCCCAACTTTGAAGCTCTATAACTCAAGAACTATACATTGAAGTTTATAAGTGTTATAGTGATTCTGAAAGCTTGAAACGAGATCTATAAAATGACATATTTGATTTTTTGCTTTGCTTTAATTTATGACCGATTTCAAGGCAGGCAAAGTAGGGTGTCACAAAATTCACTTTTTCAACACGCTTTTTGTTCTAGATTGTTAAAAAAGTGAATTTTGTGTCACCCTACTTTACGTGCCTTGAAATCGATCAAAAATAAAAGCAAATCAAAAAATCAAATATGCCATTTTATAGATCTCGTTTCAAGCTTTCAGAATCACTATAACACTTATAAACTTCAATGTATAGTTCTTGAGTTATAGAGCTTCAAAGTTGGGGGAAAAAATCCGGAACTTCATATGTTTTTGTCTAGTAATGTAAATAGTTAATTGTGTAAATACAAAAGTTTTTTTTTGTATGTACTACTTACATCTTTAAGGTAAAAAATCTTTAAAGTTTAGCTTTAATTTCAAGCTTTCAGATACGTCAAGAAGCAACCGATCGTTTGCGCCAAGCCGAGGAACGGAAAAAAGAGGCTTTCGCTGCTCAAGAAAAACAAAAAGAACCGTGTCGGCTTATGTAGAAAAAAAAATATTATTTAATTTCATTTAATCATTCATTTATCATTTAATAACCTATATTTGGTTGTCAAATCGTAGCGTCAATTAGAAAATTAGAAAATAGAAATCATTAAAAGTCTCACTTCTTGAATATTATGTCGATCTCAGATCTTTTTGCTTTGCTTTGCTTTGCTTTGCTTTGCTTTACTTTGCTTTGCTTTACTTTACTTTGCTTTGCTTTGCTTTACTTTGCTTTACTTTGCTTTACTTTGCTTTGCTTTACTTTGCTTTGCTTTGCTTTGCTTTACTTTACTTTGCTTTACTTTACTTTGCTTTGCTTTACTTTGCTTTACTTTGCTTTGCTTTGCTTTACTTTACTTTCACAGTTTTGCTGTTTTTTTTCTGTAAAACCCATGATTCCCTTTTGATAAATGTTTTGCAAAATTTCAATCGTAAAGATTCACCCTTGCACCAGAAAATTTTCCAAAAAACGCCCACACATAAATTGTTATCTATTGACTAAAATTGCTACATAATTCTTATTTTCTTGCTACATGATTTTCTTAATTTCTTTGCTAATTTTATCAATCTCCCCGGGAAACTCAAATGACAAAAAGCTTTATCGATTGATTCATTTTCTTTCTTAGATTATCCATTGTTTTCTTTTTTGCAATTTTTGCATAAAGTTCATCTTTTATGATCTTGGTTTTCCAAATCTTCCAATTTTTTAGTGTCACGAAGGGTGGACACAAAAATGGAAAACGCTCATCGACTGGAGGACGGGTATTTCCAGAACAATTTTGACAACATATAAGTTTTGCATTATATAAAAGCAGTCTTAAAGCTCAACTATTGAATAGTTAGATAACTTGCTTTACTACAGTAGTCGGTAGTCGTAAAACTGTTGCAGTTTTCAATTAGAATAAAGCCTTGATGTCAGAATACTTTCTTCTGGTAAAAGCTTGGACTTGCCTGAACCAGATCCAGAGTCTGAGCCAGGCCCAGAGCTGGCTTAAGTTTTTTGAAGGCCAAGACTTGACCTCTAGTCTAGCTCTAATTCTTTTTAAATCCAAAAAGCTTTCAATCTTTTCAGTCCGGAAAATCCTGGCCTGTTGATTCAAGAGCCTGAGCCTATTAGAATGTTCGTGGAACAACGGAATCCTCCACCTCAAGATCCAGCTCCAGTACGGGAATTGCCGCCAGTAGACTTGGGAATCGAAGCTGTAGAAGCTCTACCGCCACTTGACACCATCTGGGTGACACTGTTGACCTATCTCACGAGTTTCCAGGGACAACTTAATGAGGTATGAAATTTTTGAAAGATTTGTGAGATTTATGGTGAACTTTTAATCCAAAATTCAATACCTATGCAATTGTTTAAATCGTTTCGTCATATTGTTCTCATTTTCAGCCTCGTCAACCCCGATCCAAGGTTCAAGAATACATGGTCTCACAGTTCGAGGTTCTTGTGCAAGCAGCGCGACGAGATTGGGATCTCACAAACGGTCTTTGGTTACAACCGGTGATTTTTTTTCAAGTTTAAAGTTGAATTAAGCGCGTCTTACGACTAAATTACTAATGAGAATCCATTTTAAAACTTTAGACAATCAATTTCTTGACCAAAATGCACGAGAACATGACTGCATATCGAGAACAATATGGACAGTATTGGGAACAATGGAACCCAGAAGAAAACGTGGAACAGGCTTGTTCAAAAATAAATATTTTATTCAAAAATAGATCTCTTATAAGAAAAGTTCCTCTTGAGCAAGTAATTACTTGAATAAATTAGCGTAAATAGTTTTTCTTTACTTGAGTAACGCGCCAAGTAAATCTCAAGTAATCATATTCTAAGAAGTGCTTTTTTCAATCATCCAAAGAAGCCTTCTTACTTTTCTATGCTTTTGAAGCTTTTCTATGCTAAGAATTTAGCTAAATGTTAACTAAAAGCCTCAGAATCGATCTAGCAAAGAGTCAAAAATTTCTTATGAAAAAAAGGCAAAGAATTTTGATTTGAGTTGGGGTCGAACTTGCCGCCAAACAGCTGTTCGCTTTAGAGATAAGCTCGCAAACCAGTCGGCCAGCCGTTAAATCCATTCCTCTCTTTGGAGAGTGCTTTAAAAAGCGATTACTTTGAAGAAACACACTCAAAAATGTAAACACACTCTTTCTGGCGCGTTTAATTCTGCGTTTTTCATGCAGTAATGATGTGGTTTTAAGAGAAAATGAAGAATTTGGTGCACTAGAGAGGGTACATTTACATCGTCGAAGGTTTTTGAAGCTATAACATTTCAGGGAAATCAATTCAATCAGATGAATGTCGGTCAAGGCGTGAGCAATATCAACAACGGACAACAAGTTCAATTTAATATGGTAAATTGTAGCTTTTTGGTAAAGTTTATAGGCGTAATTTCAGTTCTTTAACAATGCGAATCTCAACCTCTTTGCTGGGAGCATTCAGCAATTACTTCAAGTGCTCAATGGAGTTGGTTTCTTCAGAGTGTCGAGTGATCTTTCTAAAGCTTGTCAACTTTTGAAAGCTATCGTAATCCTAGCTATCGTAATCCTAGCTATCGTAATCCTAGCTATCGTTTATCCTAGCTATCGTAATCCTAGATATCGTAATCCTAGCTATCGTTTATCTTAGCTATCGTAATCCTAGATATCGTAATCCTAGCTATCGTTTATCTTAGCTATCGTAATCCTAGCTATCGTTTATCCTAGCTATCGTAATCCTAGATATCGTAATCCTAGCTATCGTTTATCTTAGCTATCGTAATCCTAGATATCGTAATCCTAGCTATCGTTTATCTTAGCTATCGTAATCCTAGCTATCGTAATTCTAGATATCGTAATCCTAGCTATCGTTTATCCTAGCTATCGTAATCCTAGCTATCGTTTATCCTAGCTATCGTAATCCTAGATATCGTAATCCTAGCTATCGTTTATCTTAGCTATCGTAATCCTAGCTATCGTTTATCTTAGCTATCGTAATCCTAGCTATCGTTTATCCTAGCTATCGTAATCCTAGATATCGTAATCCTAGCTATCGTTTATCTTAGCTATCGTAATCCTAGCTATCGTAATCCTAGCTATCGTTTATCTTAGCTATCGTAATCCTAGCTATCGTAATCCTAGCTATCGTAATTCTAGCTATCGTTTATCCTAATGGTCTTGTCAATAGATATGATGTCAATAGATAGTTTTCCAAAAGCCTATCAATTTTTCAGAATCAAACCCACGGTGATCACGGTAACGATCTCTTCGTCTTAGTCATCCACCAAGCGCTGCTGACCATTGAAAAATATTTTACGTTGAAGCGTTTCCATCAATTGCCTAGCTACTGCGATATGAAAATACAAGTGACAATGATGATTCAGCAATACTTGACGGTATCCAATTTACTCTTCAATTCTTCAATTCAATAAAACTTGTTTAGCAAAACAATCAACAACGACTTCGCGATGAGTACGAGCTCTTTTACAATGCTCCATTCTCTGACGGTGTGCTCGGACATCTCCTTGGACAGGTTTATAGCCTAACTCTAGGAAAACAATGGAATTTTTAAATCTTCTAACAGTTCAAATATTTATTTAATCGAGTATAACACGAGTTAGAGTTGTCCAGGGCTGTTCAATTGTCGCAAAAGCTAAACTTATAGACCTAGCTGAGGAAAAATGACTTGAATTTGTTTCTTTGACTTGGCTTTATTGAAGTTATTGATGAGAACTGTTGAATGAAAAAGAGGAATGATGAAAATGCTAGGGAAGCTTTTCATTAGCTTTTTAGCTGTCGTTAGCTGTGATTAGCTGTGATTAGCTGTCGTTAGCTGTCATTAGCTTCTTAGCTGTCATTAGCTTTTTAGCTGTCGTTAACTAATCAAATTCCTTGCCAAATCTAATATTTTTTAATAAGCTAATAAGTTTATAATAATCTGTAAAAATGCTACAGGATGAGCCATTTGAAAGTTTTAGATTTGAAAAAGTTGTGACCAGCTCTGACTAAGTCATTGTTTGACTCATAAACAAGCACCAATTTCAGCAAGACAAGGATCGCTTGATGGCAAAATGCTACGAAAAAGATCTGAGAAATATGCGTGGTTTTATCGATCGTTTACAACACGATTCACCGGATGACGCTGATGATTTAATGCTATCAATGAGTGAACAAGCTCTGCGAAAGATTCGCGAAAAGAAACTTGACTCAAACAATCGCTTTTTCAACAAATTAACCAATCATTTCTACAATATCGCCGGATATCTATTCGTTTTTTGCTTTGGGTTTTTGTTGGCAAAGTTTCCCGAGTTATTAATCCGAATTTTGATCTGAGTGAGTAGTGATCTTGAGTGTCAGAAATTTTCAAGCGTTTATCACTTTTTGAACACCACTTTAGTTTAAATTACCGTATTTCTTCGAATAGAAGACCGGGTAAAGAGTATCATCGCGTAATCCTGCGTAGCAGCCCTTTTTAAAATTTCTTCTCTGCATAAAAGCTTTCAATGAAGTGCTATAGGGCTGGAAAATGACTCAAAAATACCACATGAGCTAACAGATTTTTGAGCCATTTTCCAGCTCTATAGCACTTGATTGAAAGCTTTTATGCAGAAAAGAAATTTTAAAAAGGGCTGCTACGCAGGAGCACGCGATGATACTCTTTACCGGGTCTTCTATTCGAAGAAATACGGTAAGAGTTCATTCCCTTGCTCAAATTTCAATGAACAAGAGTTTTTCGGAAAACTGAACCGTTTCCTTCTTTTTACTGAAATAGGTAATAAATTCGTTGGGAATTTTTATTAACGAAAAGAAAACCACGCTTTGTGGTGTACTTTTTGATGTACTTTTTGCTTTACTTTGTGCTGTACTTTGTGCTGTACTTTGTGTTGTACTTTGTGCTTTACTTTTTGATGTACTTTTTGCTTTACTTTCTGCTGTACTTTTTGCTGTACTTTTTGCGGTACTTTTTGCTGTACTTTGTACTATGAGAACTTGTAAACATACTCTTTCCAGTGTATTTAATTTTGCATTCTTTCTCATTCAACGTTAGGAGAGAAAATGAAGAAGTTAGTGCAGAATTGATCTGTTGAAAGTCTTGAGAAAGTCAAAAGAAAGTCAAGTCGATCCCTTGAGAAAGTCGATCTCTTTTAACCGGATTGAGAACTTTTCTTCACTTCTCTTCTACACTCTATCGATCTATTGATTCCGAGTATTGGTACTGTGGATTAAAAGATTCTGATTGTTGTGGTTGATTCGCGGATTGATCAGTCACTTCATAAGTCTCAGCGACAAGAGCTGAATCATGAATCATGTCTGAATCGTGAACTGAACAAAGATCATGCCAAGTTATTGAAATTGAATTTATTATGCATTACCGTACTGCTTAAACTTTCTTGTGCTGTAATTTTAACGCCAATTACCCATAAATATTTTACTGCTTCTCGAAATTTCTCTAATAATCAGATCTACTTTTTGTTGACTTTTCTTTTGAATGACTTTGCTTTTTTTAATGACTTTACTTTTGAATTTATTTAAATATATTAGGTTGGCAAAAAAGAAATGCGCGTTTTCGTTAAAAGTTTATTTTATTATAAAAACAAGATAACAATACATGAATCCAAAAGGTATTCGCCATCTGCATCAATGACTTGTCGCCAACGTTCACTCAGAGAATGGATGCCCTTCTTGAAGAACTCGACCGGCTGCGACTCGAAGAAGTTGGACACCGAAATTTGGACCTCGTCACGGTTCTTGAACTTTTTCTCGGCCAAGAAGTGGTGCATTGATCGGAACAGATGGTAGTTGGAAGGCGCCAAATCTGGGCTGTATGGCGGATGAGGCAGAACTTCCCAGCCCATTTCTTCAATTTTCTGCTGGCTGATTTTTGCGACATGCGGCCGAGCGTTGTCGTGGAGGAATTTTGTCGACGCCGTATCCACGCCTTGACGCCGCAGCGCCTGGTCCACGCGGTCAAATTGGCCTTGGTAGAGGTTCGCCGTAACTGTTTGACCCGAATCCGAACCTCAAAGTACACCAGGCCTTTACTGTTCCACCAAAAACAAAGCATCACCTTTTTTCCGTGGATGTCCGGTTTTGGAGCTTCACCGGGGTCCAACCACTGCCGCTTTCTTGCTGTGTTGCCGTATTGGATCCACTTCTCATCCGACATAACAATGGAGTCCAAAAACCCACTGTTCTTGGCGCGGTGAGTGAGAATTCCGGCGATTGCGATGCGTGTCGCCTTGTTTGCGTCGGATAGCTTATGCGGTACCCATTTTCCGTATCTATTCGTCTTGCCCATGCCATGCAGATGGTTCTCAATGGTGACATGAGTGCAGTCGAACTGTTCTGCCAGGTCGCGAGTGGTTTGGCGTGGATCCGACTCAATGGCTTCCTTCAATGCGTCGTTGTCGATGATTTGAGGTCGACGTCCGTGTTTTTGGTCTTCCAAGCTTTCGTCGCCGTCTCGGAAGCGCTGGAACCATCGTTTACACTGACTTTCGGATAGAGCATCTTCGTCAAACACTTGAGATAGAGCGCCATGAGCTTCAAGAGCCGATTTGCCTTGCTTAAATTCATGCCACAAGCAGGCCAGCAAACGAAATTTTTGGTCCGACATTTTCTAAACACTCTTTCTTGCAAAAAAACAAAGTAAACATAGACAAATTATATATCAAACGATGCGCAAGAACACGCTCTTTCCAATAGAATAAACTATTTAAAAAAATCTTTTACTGTGAATAAAATACAAATCAACAAACACGACGCTCATTTCTTTTTTGCCAACCTGATAAAAAGAAGATAAAGATTTAGTTTAATTCTTTCTTTAAGATCTTTAAAGATCTTTAAAAGAACTTTCAAAGAACTTTCAAAAAACTTTAAAACATCTTTAAAAGAACTTTCAAAGATCTTTAAAAGAGCTTTCAAAGATCTTTAAAAGAACTTTAAAACCTCTTTAAAAAATCTTTAAAGCTGTTGTTTTTCGCCGTTTTCGCCAAAGAGCCAAGTCAAAAATCATAAAAATGCTCTCGATAATGCTTCGAAAGCATTTTTCGACTAAATTTTCCCAATTAAAAGTTGCGATAAGAATTCCTTCAGAAAAAAAGGGAAAAAAAGCGATAAGAAAAAAAAAGTAGACTGAATTTTGTTGCTGCACAAATTTTCTTTGAAAACAATTTATGGAAAGTGATTTCAGAAATGGTGAAAATGATTCGGACGAAGCATTGAGCCGAGGCAATCTGTGAATTCAGTGTACAACTCCATCCTAGATCCATTTGATATCATAGAAGCCTTCTGAAAAAGTAATGTGTAGCTTTTAGCACAAATAACAAGTCTTTTGCTTTTTAGCTTTTCCAAAATTTGATTTCGAATCATTTTGAGCAAGTTAAAAGTAAGTTTTTTGTGTTTTTTCGTACTTTCAAGAGGTACGATTGACTTCTGAAATCTCAGTTTTAGTGAAAAGCCTAGCTTGGCCTAGGCCCAGAAAAGCCTAGCTTGGCCTAGGCCTAGAAAAGCCTAGCTTGGTCTAGGCCTAGAAAAGCCTAGCTTGGCCTAAGCAAATGTACCAAACACATTGTAAACTTCTACAAAAGTTTGATCGCACATTCTCGCAGCTCATTTTCTCGGGAGTTTCTTGCTAAAATCAGTGACGGCTGAGCACGAATTTCTGACGTTTTTAGATCCGGTTTATCATCGAACAATCGACTTTTTACTTAAGATTACTGTTACATTTTGATCATTAACTTAGGAAAGCTTAACAAATTTAAACTGCTTCCTTTTTCTTATTAAACCTAAACTTAAACATTAACTCGGAAGTTAAACTTTGGAAGTTAAAATTCAATTTGAATTTGGAGTTGGCTAAAAGGTGAATTAAATATTTAAAATCGAAACAAATCGAAACCAGAAGAGGCCCATCGGAAGACCAGCAACGAGGTGGAGCACAAGAGTGGCAGAGACGGTCAGGGAAAGGATGGCTAGAGTGCAACCACCACTGGCACAAGCAAGTCGAAGACTTCGAACCAGGAACAATCAAGATAGGAAACACTGGATGACAATAGCAAGGGATCGAGAAATGTGGAAGCAGGTCGTGATCTGCGCAAATAGGAACACCTGAATGCGAAGACAGATCAAAGAAAAAATCGAAACAAATACGACTAACTTTTAGATCAAAACATGAAATGTAAAAAGAATTTTTAAAAAAGTATATAAAAAACTCTATAAAGTACTCTATAAAGTACCTAAAAGTGTTGATCTTTTAAAATATCTGATAGATTTGTTTGATTTGATTCAAATTTTGATCAATCTTACTCTTAATCTTACTATTGAAGATCTATTTTCCATTGAAATTTACGTTTGAAAGCTTCAAAATGAGCTTTAATGAAAAGTTTCAGCAAATGAAACATTTAATACTTAAAAATCATCTTCTAAAATGATTTTCCTTTTCGTTTAGCAATGAAATTGCTGAAAAATTGTGTTTTAAAAAGCGTGAAATGCAAGAGAATTTGAAGTTTAAGAAAATGCATTTCAATTTTTTGGTTGTTGTTTATTTTATTTAAAAATGCTTATATTTTTCATTTAGATTATGGTCGAGCAAAAGTTTGTGCTACGAGCAGCATTACTGTTTAACTTCAAAATTGGAAAGTCTGCCGCCGAATCGCATCGTTCTCTCTGTGCTGCTTTCGGAGATGGCAGTTTGTCTCTGAGGCAGTGTCAGACTTGGTTTCAAGAGAGAGAGACGAGACTTTGGAAGACTACGAGCACGGTTCGTGAACGAAGCCAAGCTGAGGGACGTTATTCAGGCCGTTATTCAGGCCGATCCATGCCAATCTGCTCGAGATCTTGCGAAAATATTCCATTGTGATCATGTCACCATCGAACGCTATCTTCACGCTATTGGAAAGAAAAGTCGTTGTGGAAGATGGGTCCCTCATCAACTCAGTGATGCTAACCTCGCATCCAGCATTTCCATCGCTGGCATTCTCCTGAATCGTGCAAAGAATAGCGGATTTCTTGATTCTATCGTGACATCGGATGAGAAATGGATTGCATACGACAACTTTACGCGAGAACGACAGTGGCTGAGCGCTGGCGAACGTGCTGTTCCAACCCCAAGGCCCGAAATCCCTCATCAACTCCAACTCAACTCAGAGAAAACTTCTTAAACTTTGGTGGATTAAAATTATTGATTTTCATTCTTTTTATCTGATTCTTTTTACATTTCAGATAAGATTTATAGCCAAAATAAAGATTTATAGCCAAAATAAAGCAACAAAAGAAAAAGTACACGTAAAATTTGACAATACAAGTATTTTAGTACTCATCTCATTCAAAAGCTTAATAAAAAGAGTTTAAGAAATTTTCGATTCAATCGAATTTTTGCTCTCTTCTTTTCATGACTTCTTGAGTGTGAATGAGGTATCTGAAAATGATTTTTAATTGAAATGGATCGCTTGATATCAATATTTGTCTTCTTGATTGAAAATTGGTCTTTTCTTCTCTAATTTATCTTCTAAATTTGTTATCTTTTGCATGTAAAAGTGTTAAACTAAAAGAGATCAAAGCTTTGGCACTACCGGGACTCGAACCCGAGACCCCTCGCTTACTAGTCAGCCGTGCTAACCACTACACCATAAGGTACCTGATCTACGTTGCTCCAGAGGGGGCTAAGTCATGGTATGCAAGTCTTTATGTAAGCAAACTGATCATGTTGTTTTCTTTCTTTCTCCTTCTTTATCTTTTCTATTTCTTTGGAAAATAAAGCGCTAATGGCTCAGTGGTAGTGCTTCTGCTTGATGAGCAAAAGGTCTAGAGTTCAATTCCCCTTAGTTCCGAATTCTTCATCATTCCTTTACATTTTTCATTTTTCTCTTTCTCTCTTCTTTACTTTATTCAAATTCAAATCTCATCAAAAAAAAAAGCCCAAAACTGACTTCTTTTCCACTAAACGGTAGAGCCATGCTGTGAAAATGTAAGCGAAAAAAGCCAGCGTGAAAACGATCGAGACGAGAATTATACAAAGTTTTCCATCTAAATTTTCCATCTAAAAAATTTCAGCCAATTAAACTTTGATCTCTTTTTAAAGTGTTTATCTTGAGCAATTTGCCTTTAGATTAAAATCCATTTAGATATAATGTAATAAATCTTGTCAACCAATTCCTCGACCCGGATCTTTTCAGTGATCGGCTACACTCGAAATTTCAACAACTTTTCTCGTGTCTAGTGTCTTTAAGCCAATTTCTCTTCTTAGACTGAACTCTTTTGGCTGAGGTTCAGTGAAATAGCATTCTCAAAAGAAACCCATTTTGGTGTCAATAGAAAAGTTGTAGAGAATCAAAAATGAGGCTTATAGCCAAATTTCCAAAAAGATACACTTAGTATTTTCGCTTAAAATGCAAGTTTTGTGAGAATTCATAAATTCGGCATCTCTTGAAAACCAGTGTTTGAATCGTTCTGAAAATTTGGATATAAACTTAATTTTGAGCTCTCTACAACTTTTCCATTGACACCAAAATGGGTTTCTTTTGAAGAAAGTGCTTAAACTGTCACATATGACAATGGCCGGCAGTTTTCAATTCCCCAACCCAATAGTTACAACTTTTGAAAATCAACTCACCATTCTCCCAATTCCTCACAACCATAAAGGAAAAAAAAAGGCACCTGAATGAGAAAATAATGTTAATATACAAATATTAATATGAAAATGTTAATATATTTTGTATTTTTGGCATGATTGAACGGCCATTTCTTTCTTTTTTTTTTTTCATTTCATTTTAAAAGGACAGAAATTTTTATTCAAATATTTCACACTGACTAGACGTTTTCATCAAAAATATAATAGGAAATCTATGAAAAATCTACGAAAAATCTACAAAAAAACAAAACTACAAAAATAGATAGATCGGCTGAATTTTGAGCGTAAATTTTGCAAACAATCATTTCTGAATTTATTCTTTTTCTTTTCGTATCAGAATAGAGCATAAGAAGCGCTTCATGCGCTAGAAACGTTGTGTTTACAAATTTAAGCACAAAGTACATCCTGATATATCTATCTAATATATCTTTATGAAAAACAGAGTGATATGCAAAAGCCGTGGTGTGAGAGAGAAAAAAAATGACGACGAAATGAGTGAATCAGAGATTGAGACTTTCAAATGGAAATGAAAATAGAGTAGAATAGATTAAAATTGATTAAAATTGATTAAAATAGATAAAAATTGATAAAAATTGATTAAAATTGATTAAAATAGATAAAAATCGAGAACAAGATGGGTATAATATAAGATTATACTTTGAAATAGAGCTTGTTTAAATCAACATTGCCCAACTTATTAGCCTATCTTGGAAAACCAAAGAAAACGGTGCTAGACTCAGTAAAATGACTAGCTCCAATCGATTCTCTAACCCCGAAAACCCCCCGGTACAAGTTTACAGCGCTAAACCTCATTTGGGAGCCAATTACAGAGCAAAAGAAACCCTGTATAAAGTTGTTCTTTGTTCGCGCGCACAATCGCTCTTCATTCAAACCGCACCGGCATAAGGTACTTCCCTTTTCATCTCGTTTTCGTCTTTTCATCTTCCCTTCTCCTTTTCATCTCAAAGAGAAGAAAAGGCGAGCGATTAGCCGGCACGGACATCTCTATGCCTAAATTTCTAAAGTCAGGCTTTTTGCTCAAATCTGTCTGCATTTTTTGCTACAAATCCTATGGTTCTAGGATGCTAGCACTCCAGTACTACAGGCCAGCAGCCAGCACTACCGACTAGCATCCAGCACGCCCGGCCAGCAGCTAGCACTCCCGGCCAATGATTCAAAGACCTAGCGCCCGATTTTCCGTCACCGTTCTGAGACTTTGCCGTACATCTCTGATTCAAGAATAGAGTGTGTTCCTTTCAAGTAATAGTGCAAAATTGGAAATGGATGTATTTTAAATAAACTGAACATCTTTTAAATTATAGAAGATATTCAAGATATTCAATCGATTTCTACCGTAACTCGTTTCCTATTTTACATGATTTCTTGAGAGTAAAACACTCTATTCAAGAAGAAACTAGCTCATTTTTGATTCAAACAATCTTTTTTTTCAAAGTAAAAACTCTTGAGATTCAAAATAATAATCGGCAGCAGAAGAAAAAAACGATGAGAAAGGCAAAAAAAAAGAAAATTGATGAAAGAAAGATCATTTTCAAATGAGAAAGAAAAACGATTCACTCGGATGGTCAACGTATGGAATGTGAGCGGAAAATTAAATAGATTTTTAAAAAAAACTCTATTCTAGAACACTAGCGATTTGGATTAGAATAAATTTGAGATAAAAGAATAGCTGAGTATCGGTTAGGCCCTGATAAAAGAAGAGATTACGGTAATTATAGATAAATATAATAGGATTTCAATTGTAGAGTCTGTTCAAATTTTCGTGTTTTAAAGAAAAGTGCCCCATTTCTCGAGCAGCTCCGCTTTTAGATCAGCACCCATCAAGCGGTAGTCTTGGTCAGCGGAAAGGGATCTAGAAATGTTTGTTTAGGGATTCAAGAATATAATGATCGACTTAACGATAAGTTCCGTTTACATCAATTAACACTTGATCTGAATGACACAAATCCTTAAAAACCTGGTACTAACACGACTCACCGGAGTCACTAGAAATAGTTGGCGTTCTTGGATCCAGATAATGATAGTAGCCATCGATTTCCGATCTTTATACCAATCTTTATACCAGAGATCTCAACAAGTGCAATAAAATGAACTAAAAGCCATAAAGAATGACTCAATTAGAAAAAAAGTTATGACGATTTGCGCAAAAGATCCAAAGATCTGTCAAAAGATCCCAAAAGATCAGAATTTCGCGTAAAGTAGCCAAATATTCAGATCAAGTGTTAATTGGTAAAGGTAAAGATGGAAAATCGATGGCTACTATCATTATCTGGATCCAAGAACGCCAACTATTTCTAGTGACTCTGGTGAGTCGTGTTAGTACCAGGTTTTTAAGGATTTGTGTCAACTAAACTGTGTAGAATATTGTTTTAGAGCTTTAGTCTTAGTCTTTAGCTTCATTTTTGAACTAATTTAGCAACTAATTTTGCTAATTTTACCTGAACACATCGATCGAAATCGAGTCGAAAAGGCGCTGCTTGATCGCTGACAATTTCAGCTGTTCGGCGAGGCGAATCGCGTGCATCACGGAGAATTGGGGAAGCTGAAAATGATCTGATAAATAAAGCTTTATATATTTCTTAATCTGTTATCATTTTCTTTACCTTTTCCGAGATATACTTTTCACAGTGATCGTAAACGGTGGTGAATTTCAGCTTATCCGCAAGTAGCGCCACCGCATCGATGTTTGAAACTAAAATACTGATTTCGAACATTTCATTTCAAACATAAATTCTTCAAAACAGTTAACTGTATCTATATAAAGAAGAATGTCTGTCTGTCTGTCTGTCTGTCTGTATGTATGTCTGTACGTCTGTCTGTCTGTCAGTCCGTCCTTCCGTTCGTCTGTCTGTTTGTCTGTCTGTCTGACACAGGTACTTTTCTCGACACCCAGATCGAATTTCGAGATGCAGTTTTTTTGTTCGATAGGAAATTTCATACTGATTCCGCCCCCAAAAAATCAAGAAAATTCATCGAACCAATTTTTTAAAGACTCCAAAAACTTTAAAACTAGCCGAGCCCGATGTTGCCTAATTTCCCCTTCGCGCGCAGATGGCCGAGTGGTTAGAACGCGCGTTTCTCGAAGAGAGTGGAAAAGATGAGTCGTGGACTCGGTCCACCTCCGAGAAAATTAGTTTTGCTTTTTTTTCAAAGTGGATTTTAACTGTTAGAAAGTCAATTTCGATGGTTTTGAGGTATCATTTGAGGTAGGGAAGTGATCCGTCTGTCCAAATAACATAATGCGCAACATAGTCTACAATGAAGTTCTCAAAAAAAGCTTTGTAAAAACAATTAACCCAATAGCCCTTTTTCCATGCCTCATGGGCCCCAGCCGCAGATCTTTGATCTGGGTGATGGAGGAAAGTCTTCCTAGACCTCCACGCTGTTCTTCCTGGAGATTCCCTTATTTGGGATGCGGTAACTATAGGAATGAGTTTAAAACAACTTTGATAAATGAAATAAATGGATCGCCGACTTCAGCCCCAACTGTCCAGCAGGAAAAGAGGCGTTAGCGGAAAATATTCCTGCTTACGGAGACAATATAATTATCGATTGACCCGAGAACAAGGGTTATAAATTTACGGTAGACCTTAACCCGCAGCAGTTTTTAGCAGCGTTAGCACTTAGTTAGCAGCGTTAGCACTTAATTAGCAGCGTCAGCACTTAGTTAGCAGCGTTAGCAGTTAGCATTTAGTTAGCACTGCTGGTATCTATATATTTCAAAAAGCCTTCAATTTACCAGTGATTGATGTGGGATTGTTGTGCGCGTCGAGCAACATTTGGAACTCATTTGGATCGACATCCACATGGACATCACCCTGAATTTTTTTATGATCAAGTCTATTAATATTGTTTTATAATTAATTTTACCTGCATTGGTTCATGGAGTTGAAATAGAGACGCAAAATAGGCCGACGATCGTGAAAGAGCTTGACGAGAGACAGCGAATTTCACCGAACCAACGATGATCACTGTGTCCTCGGTGTTTGCATCATTGGCACTGAAGTTCACATATTAGTTAGCAGAGTAGTAAGTCATTCACATCTAGACTTGCTTACTTACTTACTTACTTACTAGACTCGTTAGTTACCTGACTTCAAGTTAGTTCAGTTTCAGTATTCATCAATGATTAAGCAGTAAAGTTTTGAAATGAGCTCTCAAAAGGAGTCCTCTACGCTCACCAGGGGATCAAACCCGTTCCGATCGATCGGACTCTTCAGGCGGAAGCTCTACTACTGAGCTATGGGCGCAGAAGAGGCTATTCCTTCCAAGAGGCTCATAACAGCGGTCTCTCTCAGTCTCTTTCTGGGATCTCCTGTCCCTTCCAAAGCAATTGTTTGATCAATTGAACGATTAGATGTGCTCGATTAGTGTGTTTCTTGTTGCCAGCAAAGCTGTGCTCAATTTTGTGCTCAAAAAAGCATTTCAGACTGTCTATGCACTGGTTAGCATCCCAATTGAAGCTTTTACTCTGAAAAATTTCAGTACAGCTGCTGGTTATGAGATTTTGAGCAAAGGAAATTTTTAGGATTTAGAGTGAAACAATATGAAAATGTTTCTTTTTGCTTAAACTCGAATTTTCGGCTGAATATCTGAATATCTGAATATCTAAATATCTAATATACTAACTTTTTGTCGATATTCGGAGTTCCCTTTGGTCGAAAGCCTTTTCCCGGACAACTTTCCCGCTTGTGCCTTTCCAGATTCCATTCCGAGGAGTAGGTCTTGCCACAAGGCTGAAAATTTTGCTTTAAACCTTTAACAATAACAATTTAGCTTTAGTTAAAGTTTAACTTTAAACTAATAACATTTAAAATAATGCTTCAAAAACTCCAAGGACTCTAAGGACTTCAAGAATGGCTCTAAGAACTTCAAGAACTTTAAGAACTCCAAGAACTTCAAGAATGGCTCTAAGAACCCCAAGAACTCTAAGAACTTCAAGAACTTTAAGAATTCCAAGAACTCCAAGAATAGTTTCAAGAACTCTAAGAATGGTTTCAAGAACTCCAAGAATGGTTCCAAGAACTCCAAGAACTTCAAGAACTCCAAGAATGGCTCTAAGAACTCCAAGAATGACTCCAAGAACTCCAAAAACTTCAAGAACTCCAAGAATGGCTCTAAGAACTCCAAGAATGACTCCAAGAACTCCAAGAACTTCAAGAACTCCAAGAATGGCTCTAAGAACTCCAAGAATGGTTCCAAGAACATGAATAAACGAAATCTACGGTTTTTATAATCATTTTCCATTTAGCGCACTAAACTTTCACAAAAATAGCATTATCTGGCTAGAAGCCTTGCTTTTCTGAAAGCTCTTAAAAAAGAACCTTAAATTTCCAGATCTGACCTTAAAATCTTAATGATTTTAACTTTAAAACATGAATTTTAAAACATTAATTTTAATTATATTTAATAATAATTCTTTGTTTCTTTTCATTCTTTTAACTGCGAATTAACTTTTTAACAAAACTTTTCCACAAGAACTTCTTCAACCACAAGAACACAAGAACCAACTTTCCACATGCTAGTCTTCTTTTTCGAAAGTTTTCTCCTTTTTCAATGTAAATTTGAAATTTTTATAAATAGATTTATTCTCTAAAAGATACAAAAATCTTTTTTTATTTCTTTTTTGAGATCAAAAAGAATATTATATTACAGAATTTAGCGATATTCTTTTTCTTGAAAGTGGCAGTTGAAAATCAAATGGAAGTGATAGGAAAATAACGGAATTTTTGACCCGATAGGAATTGAGAGAAAAGATTTTTATAGAAAATTGAACTTAGGATTTGAAGAATTATTAGAAGATACAAGTAGCTAGGCGATACTCGACGAGTACTTTGTGCTTTAAACGCATCACGTCTAGCTTCTAGCCATGTGATTCATGTGCCGGACGGCATGCTTTCTAGCAGCACAAAGTACAAGCCAAGCTACAAGCCAAACTTCGCCAATTGATAGCTCTTTTCTTGTCGAGAAATCACATGTATGAGTGAAAGAAATATTTGTTTAATATCTCAAAAAATATAGGAAACCTATTTTAGGAAAAATTTAGAAGAAAATCTAGAAATTTATAGCGGAAAACCAAGTTTTTTGGGGACTTTTGAGTATCTTCATCTAATCACAAGCAAGTTTTTGTTTTTTTTCTTTTCTGAAAATGGTCAAGCTTTAAGAAGAAATGATCAACGTTTAGAAATGAAATCTTTTGAGTGAAATTTTGTATGGGTGACCTAAATGACAATTAGTAGAGTAGAGTTGAAGATATCTACAGTATGAAAGCAGGCTACAGTAAGCCTAGAGTAAGCCTAGAGTAAGCTTAGAGTAAACCTAGAGTAAGCTTAGAGTAAGCCTAGAGTAAGCCGAATAAGCTTAGAGTAAGCCTAGAGTAAGCCTAGAGTAAGCTTAGAGTAGGCTTAGAGTAAGCCGAGTAAGCTTAGAGTAAGCTCGACTAAAGCCGGTTACAGTAGGAGAGTATGTCTGAGCAAAACAAGCTACAGTAAGTTTAGAATTGACTGATCACTTAGCGTTGATCGTAAACTTTCTTCTCAAAACCATTGATCAATCATGCTACACGAATTCAACAACGAAAATGAAAATGAACGCAAAGAAATCGTCACTCGGATCGATCTGCGTCGATTTTTGGCAGAAGTGAGCTCTTATTTTGATCCTTTTCTCCATCTTTCCATTCCAAATTCTGTTTTGAATCGTCTTCCATTTCAAGCGTCTCATCTTTCTGCAAAAGACAACACTGAACAATCACTGTATACAAAATGCAACAGTACTTTGTGCTTTGATAAACGCACGCTTTCTGACATAAAGAAAAGAGTCTGCCAGACGTTCGCGTTTGCTAAAGAACACAAAGTACGCTGACCTTCGCCATGCTTATCGTGGTATTGCTTATCGAACTAAGCTGATAGTTGAAAAAATTGGAAACGCAGCGAACCTGGCGCACTGAATATTCGCTATACTTTGACGGGAAACTGTTCGATTTTAACAGAATGGAAAAAGATAAAGTAAAGCTTAGAGCTTTCGTTTTTCTTGGAAATCCGGGTGTTTTCATTGTAAAAAGCTGCAAAAACCAAAGCTAAATCGATTTTCTTAGGACAAATGGTTAAAAGAAACTCCGCCAATGGATTCTACGTTCTATTCCAACACGTAACTCGTTCCATTTCCTTTCTAAACAATCAAAATTTTAGCCACTTCTGCGCCCGGTTCAAATGAGTTTTCTAGCGAAAATGCAGCCAAATTTAGGCGGTGGGAAAAATGCGATCTTTTTTTCGCGCACCTTCTGCGGAAAAGCATTAAATAGTTTTTGCCTTTTAGCCCAAATTTGAGGTCCAAGCGGGGTCTGATTTGTCGAAATTCGGAATCTACGCATATGATTCCGTTATCTGAAGCTCTACGGCCTTTTCTTAGGCTTTTTCCGGCCAAAAGAAAGGTGCGCAAATGTCCAGGTGCGCAAAAAAAGGTCGCATTTGTCAGACCCGGTAAATTGATGGAAAAACTGAGAGAAACTGAAGCAAACTGGGCATAGGAAATGAGAAACTGGGCATAGGAATGCCGAAAACGGTTCAGGCGCGGAGCTTTGCACGCTCAAAGGAAACCACCTATCTATCAGAACCATGTGCCAGGTGGAGAGCGATTGTGCTCGCGCACAAAGAACATTTCGCTAGTCACTTTCTACAGGATTTCTTTGGCTCTGTAAATGGCTCCCAAATGAGCTTTAGAGCTGTAAATTTGTACCCAGGTCGTAGAGTCTATTCGCAGAGTTTATTTTAACCCATTATCCCAAGAAAAGTCCCAAGAGAGTCGAATTGGCTTTGGATTTTGTCTATGAAAGCCTTTTACAATGAAAAATCCGAATTTTCGAGGAAAACTCAATGCACCAGACATCAAACGTTTCCAGCTATCTATCCTTTTCAATAAACAACACCACATCACAATCATCACTACGAGAAATCACGATTTAAACTCGCTTTTTTAAGAAAATAAAGCCATAACTTTCAATTAACGAAAAGCTTTACCATACGCATTCCACAAAACATTAGGAAATCTTTGAAATTCGATTTTGTATTTTAATTTTGTTAACAAACCTGACATAAATGCTTTAAAGTTTGTTTTGCGGGTGGAACCGAGATCTCCGAAGCTGAATGACGACGTTTTCTCGTCTAAAAGGAATTGATCGTCTAAAACATAAACGCGGACCTTCTGGCACACTAACTGATTTCATTTTAGTTCATTTTCGTATGCCAGAAAGGTGTGTTTTTTCAATTCATCAAACTCACATGAACAATTTCCCCATTCTCGGATGGTGACGAGAGATTGCAAGGAGAGTGAGCCAGCGAGTCGCCACCTCTGAAAATTTTGATTCAAGAACATAACTGTGGCTAAAAGTAATAGCTATTTGTTTCTATATTATCTAATTTACTCTTTCTTTCTTTCTTTCTTAACATAAACAGCTTTTATCATCATTTCTTATAAAGTACAAAAAACTTATTACTAAGAAACGTGGCCAGATGTCCGTGAACTTTTAAAACAAACTCCATCTTATAGAATCGACTACGCTGATTACGAATCTATTTTCAGTTTTTCCCCTCGAGGCCTGTAACGTGAGATATCTCTTGGTTACAAGTTTTAGACCTCCTTGGTTAGTTGAGTTCCTTTTTCGCCAAGTAGCGCCAAGTAGCCAAGCCAAGTAGCGACGTGGTGCATCGTCAAAGCTGTTGACTACGGTTCCAAAATGCCCTAGTTCGATCCCCTCCTCGGCCAACTTCTTTTGGTTTTTGAAATTGGCTGAGGAGGGAATCGAACCACGATGCTTTGGAGCCCAGTCGACAAATTTGGCGATGCACCAGATACCTCACGTTACAAGCTTTGAGGGAAAAAAACTGAAAACGGATTCGGAATCAGCGTAGTCGATTGTATAAGATGGAGTTTGTTTCAAAAGTTCACGGACATCTGGCCACCTTTCTTAGTAATAAGTTTTTTGTACTTTATAAGAAATGATGATAAAAGCAGTTTATGTTAAGAAAGATGATAAAAAGAAAGAAAGAAAGAAAGAGTTAATTAAAATGTAATTTGTACCTTTGCGTGGTGCTATCCGGCGCTGTTTCCTCCTCGAAACTGATCCCACCGTCAGTGCTCTGCGGACGTCGCTTTAACTCAGTGATCCACATCTGGAAATAACAGTTTTTTTTGTTAATTTACTATACTTTAAATCTATTTATCTATCTTTTAGTTTAACCAGCTCAGCCAATTCCTCAGATTTCATTACCTTTTGCGGTTGTGGAGCCACACTGTTGCCCTGAGCGATCATCGGATCAGCGCCTTCGATCGAATCGCTGTAATATGTGTTGGATGAAAAGTTGACAATGATATGTAGATGTTTTTAAAGATTCTTGATGTTGATCTTGATATTTAACAAAGTAACAAATATATTTAATCAAGTACAAAGTGTACTTTTGAATGCAAAAAGTTCACAAAGTGCAATAGCTACAAAAAACCAAATCAAAAGCTGTTCAAGAAGTTCTCAACTCACTTCTGTGATCCCATTCCTTTCGCACAAGATAATCGATGTCTCTTGAGTGAATATTCCGAAGAAAGTACTCGTTGACAGCTATTGCAAGTGTGATTGCCGGTGTTGATCGTCTTTCGGCTAATCGATTGCAACGGTGCAACAAGGCCAATCGGAGAGTTGTCTAAAATTTGAATTTAATTTATTTTTGCGATAATTTAGAGGATTACGGTAGCTTTTAAAAGTTTAAAAACTTTAGAAAACGATTGAAAAAAATTGAAAAGCTGAAAAGTTGTGAACCAAAACATTTTCGAAGATTCTCTTTACCTTCCATCGGTTGACTCTCCACTGATTGCGTGGACATCGGCTGGCTGGCGAGCTCATGCTTCACCTGAATCTCTTCTTTTAAGAATTACAATAAATATTTGAATATTAGATTCGATCATGAATCCATCTTGCCTATTCCATTTCATCTTTTATCTTGAGAATTTCTCATTCACCTCTTTCCCCTCTTCGGCATCTTCACTGAAAGTTGTGTCCGCTTCAGCTAATTCAGTCATCGCTTTTTTCGATCCATCAACCGGCTCTCTTTTTGGGGTTTTCAGCGAATTTGAGTCAAACGACTAAAATAGAGCTTTAGAAAGATATTGTAAGATACTGTAGATCTAGAGATACTGTAGATCTAGAGACACTGTAGATCTAGAGATACTGTAGATCTAGAGATACTGTAGATCTAGAGATACTGTAGATCTAGAGATACTGTAGATTTAGACACTTTATGAGCTGAGATCTAAGAATCAACTTGAAAGGCTGTAACTCATGGCTTATGGAAGGCTAAAAACTAAATAAAAGCTACAGTAGACCAAAAATCTTCAGTTAACAAGGCTGAATCTTTTAAATATAAGTTTATTTAACTCAAAATCTTACCTGCATGTGTTGCGCGGTTGGTTGAAGAGGTCCTTGTTGCGGAATCGACGTCTGTGCCCATATTCTACTCTGACTGCTTTGTTGTTGATCCCATTGAGCATCAGTCTAAAGATATAATATATAAACTTAATCTATCAATAAATATATCTAGCAACAAATCTATCTAGCAGCAAATATATCTAGCAACAAACTTACCCTTACACCTTTATTTGGGGAGATAGCCGATGACATTGGCGAGTTCATCATCACCGGAGTGTGCGGAGTGCCAAGAATTTGGTGCGGGGATTGCATCTGGAAAATACTGTACTTACCTATAGTGCACTGTAATTTATAATGAAAATCTATCCCTACAGTATCCTATGCTCGCTACAGTAACCCAAATTTCATCTTTCAGTCTACATTCAATGTTACAAGATTGAATTTCTTTAGCCAACAAATTTCCATGTACTGACTCTGTTGATTGTGACTTTTGCTTAGACATACTGCTAGATTACTGTACTTTGTTGTACTTTAGTTTTTAATAGACATTTTCCGTAAACTTACCACGCCACCGTTTGTATAGTCTCCTGATCCAGGATTTCTTGCGATTTCCTCAGGTGTCAACTTGTGCACGGCCATCCGATGTCGTTTCACATTTTTTCGACAGGAGTATCTAAAATAAAGAACTTTAGCTCTGACCTTACGCAAAATTTTACACATGCGCACGTAAAACTAACAAATTAACACACGCAATTCCAGCCTAAATGACCATAGCTGGCTGGCCATTGCCTGGAATGCTTCAAGAATTTTACTCAACCACTTAAAGAGTTTTGATGCGGAATTTATTTTGGGATGTGGTGTGCTAATTTTTAAGAATATAGTAACTGTTGTCTTTTGAGTTTCTTCAAAACTATTTATACTAAACTTACGTCTTTAAGCATTCGGGACACTGAAAGCGTAAGTCGACCTCACGGCCTGGAGTGGCTGGCATTGCGCCAAGTTCTCTAGAAAATATCCATTTTAGATACAAGTTTTTTACAAGTAATAAACTAGAAATTGTTACAGTAATTTAATAAATTAGACATTGCTACAGTAATTTGGACTGGACTAAAGTAATTTGGACTAAAGATTTCAAATCTGAGCACAAACCGATTCATGTTTGGCGACATCGGATGTTCAGCTAACGCGTAGCTCATTGCTCCGTGCGGATGAACGTAGCTCTGAAAGTGAAAAGTATAAACAGCGTTTTGAGGAGTGACAAATATACTTGACATACCTGGTGATTGGGTAAGGCTTGTACATGAGTCACATAATAGGTCGGCTCCGGTCCGCGTTGGTGTGGGTTTTGCGGAGAGAAGATGAGGCGTTCACTGGAAAAATACACTTTAGCTGGCTAATAGAGGACTTGTGTTTAAGCCTAACAGATGAACAGTAACTTAAGTCTACTTAAGCCTACTGTAAGTCTACTTAAGTCTACTTTAAGTCTACTTAAGCCTACTGTAAGCCACTTTAGCCTACTGTAAGTTTACCTAAGCCTACTTAAGCCTATTGTAAGCCGCTTTAGCCTACTGTAAGTCTACTGTAAGCCTACCTAAGCCTACTGTAAGCCTCAAGTTCTTCTGCTCTTTATAAGTTCTAGTAATAGTTTTAAAGTGTAAGCCTGCTAGCCTAAGTGTGCTGTGAACCTGTTAGTCTGAATCTACTGTAAGCTTCAAGTTCTGTTTCAAGTTCTATTTCAAGTTCAAGTTCTAGTAGTAGTCTAGTAGTATCAGCGTGTTCTAATAGTCCAAATAAACTTATTGCTAGTATGTAGTCACTAATTTCACAAACCCTGGTAGTGGTTGAGTGGTGATGATTGAATCGAGCGGGGGTGCTGTTGCGATTGTTGTCTGATATTGAACTGCTGTCGGTAGTGGATGAGAGGAAACAGTGTGACGGGCTGGTGGCGAGATACTGTAATGAAAAAATTCGTCTTGCCTTGATCTTTACAAAGAAAAGTTATCTAAACGACTAAACGACTATCTAAAAGATCTAAACGAAATCTAAACGACTAGATTTTCGTAGTGCATTTCTTAAAAAACGTGTTGATTCTAGTAGCTGAGAAAGTTGAGACTTTATAGAAGATGAATTGTCGATCAGAAAGAGACTTTCCCAACTCTACCTGTTCAAAGCAGCTCTCAACGCACTCCCATGCGAGTTCCCATTGATCGTTGTCGTTTCTGTTGATGTTTGATTTTCCAATGAGTTTTGACCATTCGAGTAACCGTTTGTAAGATGAAAATCTCTTAAAAAATCGATTTTTCTTTTGATATCGATCAATCTACCGTAATCTAGTAAACAAAGATCCAAAGTAAAGTTTATTTTCAATGAAACTCACCGATCTTTTTGTTCCCTTAACTCGTCCTCTAAATCACTGACGTCTGTAGCCGAATTGAAGCCATAGCTGAAAAAAGCAAAAGAAACATGAGCGAAACATGGGTGAAACATTGTAAAAAGATTTTTTTTATGGAAAAAAATGTGATTCGTGCTTGTGGGTTCAGAAATTTTCGCAAATTTCGCAAATTTTTAGTAAATTCCATCCAGCAAACACGGTTAGTTGAAGAGAAAAAAAAACGTCTCACAAAATGTGTGTATAAACTGTAAATACCGTAATCCGTACCCATAGTGATAAATGTTTTTTTTTGAATGAAGAATTGCAAATCATATTCACCTGACTAGATCTTGAGCGCTTGGCTGCCAAATGGCCGAAGCCCCTAGAGAGATTCGAAAAATAAATCACCCGATTTGTCTATCAGAAAAAACAAAACACTAAGAAATCTTCAATGTAACCTTTTTACTTACTTATACTGTTTTCTAAAACGCACTCACTCCCCAAAAAAAGAAAACCTTCATTTTATCACTGATGTGTGTCTGTGTTTAATAACTTTTTGTGCTTTTTTTTGCCTTAAGCTTATTTTAGTTTAATCTGATTTTTGTTGTTGAATTTTATCATAACTTTGAGAAAAGAAAACCGTAGTCGCTTTTCTGAAACGAAGAACTTTTTAGCGCACTAACCCGTAGTGTTCGTCCACGTCGACCTCGTATTCAGCATGCGCGTCTTCGAGAAGACTCTCGTCTTCTTCCAATTTCCCGTTCTCCTCGAGATGTGATGGACCATTGCCCGGATGACCGTTCATGTGAAGGTGATTGCCTAAATGTCAGTAGAGTTGTCAAATGTGATGTCAGTAGAGTTGTCAAACTCTGGAACCGTTTTCTAGAACCTGAGCCAGGCTAGATCAAGTCGGATAATGGTCAAGTCAAGCCGACCTTGCAAATCTGAAAGCCAGGCCAGATCAAGCCGGCCTTGCAAGTCTAAAAAGCAGACCAGATCAAGCCAACCTTGCAAATCTGAAAGCCAGGCCAGATCAAGCCGGCCTTGCAAGTCTAAAAAGCAGACCAGATCAAGCCAACCTTGCAAATCTGTAAGCCAGGCCAGATCAAGCCGACCTTGCAAGTCTAAAAGCTAGGCTAGAACTTGTCGGGATCAAATTCTACTATGAAAAGATGAGCACAACTCTATAAATGCCGCACCCAGTACTTTAGTCGGCCAACGCCATTCTTTTAACTTCCAAAGTGTCCAAACGAAAAGAAACAGAGTAATTTGGTCGACTTGAGTGCTTGTTATCAAGCCTTCTTTGCTTGTCATGCTTGTTATCAAACCTGGACTGGCTTAGCTATCCAATGATGGGATTACAGTAAAACCCAGACTTTATTCAATGCTAAGTCAGGTTAAAAAAGGTTTACAAGACTTGACTAGCACTTTCTGTATTCAAAATGCTACCATTTGTGTAGTTCTGGACGTATTGTTGCGGGTAATTGGTCGATTGACTGCGTTGGATTGGGGCCGGGAATTGAGGTCCATTCATGAGATGGGGAGGAGCAGAATGGGGTATTTCAGCGCCCTGGAAAATGAAATTCAAATTTTAAAAATATCTAGCAGATGTCTAAAATATTGTAAAAGTATGTAAAGTAAAAAAATCTGTAAACATTAAAATCTCTCAATTTTCCAATCAAACTCACATCGATCGAGTGTCGGTTGATCGGCGCTTGCTGTGCGATGATGATCTAGAAAGAAAGGATTGGCTACAGGATTTTATTAGCTTGTCTAGTATTATTTAGATATCTACATATCTACATATCTTATCTACATATCAAAATCAATATATTCTGTAAGAAAATCTACCTGTTGACCCTGGATTTGCTCAATTTGCCCAATTTGTCCACCATTTTGTGCTCCCAGTTGCATTCCCTGCTGAACGACATGAATCCCCGGCTCGTAGCGTTGCTGAAAGATGTAAAATTTTATAAAAACTATATTCAATTCCTTTCCGTTTTCTAAAAGGTATCAATTTTCGATTTAGAAAGCATCAAAATACCGTCATCATAACGCCAGTTTCCATCAAAATCAACTCAATTTTTGCATCATTGACTGAGTTTCTTCATCAAATGATATCAAAAAGATTGAATGCAAATTGACTGATTGAATGGCTGTTTAATTACGGCATTTTGTTTAAAATAGATGTCTTTTAGAAAAAAAAAGCATTAGCTTAATTCGTCTCACTCACCATTTGCTGTGGCGGATTCATCTTTTGCTGCTGGGCTTTGAGGTGTTCACCAACCGTAATCTGAAAGGATTTCTTCAATCTATAGCTGATATAGCTATAGCTTCAATCTACCGCAATCTATTTCTACTTTATTTGATTTCTTTAAACTCACGAATGGTCGCTGCTGATCGATTTGCATTTCGACGTGCGAGCCGGCAGAGGGCGCGGCCAGAACAACGTAGCGACGATCGGGTTGTTCCTGAAATAGATAAGATATAGTTATAGATCTGTTATCCAGATATCCAGATAAGTTATCCAGAGAATATTCTTAAATCCAAACGTACTGGCAAATGGCGAACCTCTTGCGAAGCCCATTGAACGGCTTTTGGCGGTGAGGGAGCGTCGACTGATGGTGCTTGAAGAATGGGTTCTCTGGAATTCAAAAGGCTACATTACTGGTAGTCAATTTGAATTTAACTTAATCAGAAGTTAGATCTACTACTGTAATTAGGTATTAGATCTGCTACAAAATAGAATTCCGCTAAATTTCGGTACTTACATGACTCCAGTTGCTGCCGCTTTACACGTGGCTCGGTGTCGCTTCAAATTGCTGGCTGAACACAATTGGCGTTGACAATCTGGACAGGTTGTGTTTGCCTGATTGACACCATTGCTGGAAATGAAATATAGTACAAAAACAGTTTTTAGTTGGCTTTGTTTGCTTGGAAAAGCATAACTGGTTGAACTGAGCTGAGCGAGAGCTGAGCCAGAGCTGAGCCGAGCCAGAGCTGAGCTGAGCTAGAGCTGAGCTGAGCCAGAGCTGAGCAGAGCCAGAGCTGAGCTGAGCCAGAGCTGAGCCGAGCCAGAGCTGAGCTGAGCTAGAGCTGAGCTGAGCCAGAGCTGAGCTGAGCCAGAGCTGAGCTAGAGCTGAGCTGAGCAGAGCTGAGCTGAGCCAGAGCCAGAGCTGTTTACTGTAAGAATTGTTTAATGTAGCCTTGCTATTCTTAGATTCAACCACAACTCTGACTACAACGTTACATTGTTACAACACGACACGAACCTTGCAGACGATGAGTCGGGACTGGGCAAACGATCAGCTTCTGTGAGAGGTTGGTCTTGTTGCTGTATTTGGACCGGTTGAATCGGGAAATTTGAAGCAGATGGTGTAGCGACTGGGCTCAAAAAGCCGCTCCTCGACTCTGCACGCTCCACCATCGGACTAGCGACCATTGAGCTTGACGAAGAGCGTGACATTGCTGACATTGGATGGAAACCCGGGGAGAACACAGGCGAGTTCATTTGAGCCATTTGATTTGCATGATGGGGTACCCATTGATGTGGGCCTTGAAAAGTGACTTGTACAAGCGGTCGTGGGCCCATCGGTTGCAGATTCTGATAGGTGGGCATATTCTGGGTTTGCCGGGGTGTTGGCTGGGGTTGGCCCTCGTAGGGAGACCAAAACTCGACTTGTCCGGCTCCCAAATGATCCAACTGTGGCGTATAGGTGGCGCCAGGATCTCGCGGGAAATATTGAGGCCGATACTGGGGATGGGGAATTCCATAATAGTCAGAGCTCATGATCTGCCTCGGGAACTCTCTCGGCTCGTCCTCTTGAAAAACGGGAGTAGGAAATGAAGTGCCGGGTTGAGAGAAACGATCGGCGTCTATTAATTGTAAAGTCTCTTGGTCGTTTATCGGCTTCTTTCGTATCCGTTTCCTTCCCGATTCCAGTGCATTCATCCGTTGCTCCTCGTATTTTTTCTTCCGCACTTCAGCTTCGGCTCTGGAAATTTGACAAATCACGAACACGATTACGGAAATGAAGAAGAAGCATAGCTGATATCTGATAGACTTTTTTCAATAAGCCTTTCCTAGACTAGAAATATCTCTATAGAATTCTAGCGACGCACTTTAGAGGACCTAGATTGACCAAAATTGAGTCAATCATTCTGAGAGTCAAAGTAAATCTGTATGCTAAGTATGTTTCCTGGAAATTTAATCGAATCTAATCAAATCTAATCAATTCTAAACGAATCTAATCGATTCTAATCAAATCTAATCGAATCTAAACGAATCTAATCAAATCTAATCGAATATAATCGATTCTAATCGATCCTAATCAAATATAATCAATTCTAATCAAATCTAATCGAATCTAATCGAATCTAATCGAATATATAATCGATTCTAATCGATTCTAATCGATTCTAATCGATTCTAATCGATTCTGATCGATTATCTAATCAATTCTAATCGATTATCTAATCGATTCTAAACGAATCTAATCGATTCTAAATTAATCTAATCGAATCTAATCGATTCTAATCAAATACAATCAATTATAATCAACTCTAATCGATTCTAAACAAATCTAATCAATTCTAATCAAATATAATCAATTATAATCAATTCTAATTAATTCTAAAGAGAACTTTAGTAAGCTTAGTAAGTTCTCTTTTTACTTTCTTCTTTTAAATAATCATTGTTCAAATTTAAAAACTTTTTTTACAAGTTCTACAGGAAACTACAGTACACTTGTACATTAAAAATAACTATTTCTAAAGGAAATTCGTAAAAAAAAACAACTACCAACTAACAAACAACAACTACTAACATATAAAACATTCTTGTGAACAAGCCACAAGAAAAATTGATGCAAAAATTACGACAAAAACACAACGACTACGACATTTATTACTTAAAAATTGAAATTTTAAAAATAAAACAAACTTTTCTTGCTCTAAAATATGTGGGAATTGCTGAGCGAACGGTTTGCATGTGGTGTGGTGTCGCTTGAGTGAGCGAAGAGATGCCACTGTCTTTTGGCAAGCTTCACATCTAAAGAAATCAATGAAATACATTGAAACATATAATTTTTAAAAACATTTTTAATCTAGAAAGTTCAAAAGTACTCAGTTTTTGATTATTTAAAAGTTTTTGTAATTTAAAAAAGCTCACTGGAAAGCTTGCGCCTGTGAGGGAACGTCACTGCTTCGACTCGCACTTCCGCTCTCGCCAGAGGTGGCCAACTGAAGAAAAGAACTTTTTTTTATAGATATTATTATATAAAATAAAGATTATAAGGCTAGGTTACTTGAAAAATAAACGATATTGTTTTATTTGTTTGATTTTTCAAGTAAAGCTCATAGTTCTGAATACCCGGGTATTTCCCTTTCTTTCTTCTTCTTCTTCTTTATTATTATTTCCCTTTCTTTCTTCTTCTTCTTTATCTTTCCCATTCTCTTCTTAGAGAAACAAAACCCCGATAGCTCAGTGGTAGAGCATCTACCTGATAAACGGAAGGTCTAGAGTTCAATTCTCTTCATTTTGCCCTTCATTTCTTTACTTTCTTTATTAACACATTCGTGACAACCGGGTGACACTTTTTTTAAAATCGAATTGTGTTGAAAATCAAGGGTTTTCAATACAATCAAGGGTTTTCGAGGATAAGGAATTCGAATCTGTTATTAGTTTTTAAAGAAAACTGCTCTAGTTTTGAAGATTTCATTTGGTTTGACTACCTAAGTAGCCTCATATTCAGAGCCAGAAACGTGAAAGTTTTTTTTTCATCTTTACCTAAACGCGTGACTTATTAGTGGTAGAGTTGGCACTTCTGGCATACAATTTTTTCTAGAGAAAAGGGCAAAACAGAGAATCATTTTTGTCTTTTTCTTTCCAATTTGATTGTATTACTCAAATTTTTAGAGAGTTTTGGGTTCTTATTGGCTCAGAAATGAAAGTTGCTCAAAAACTAATAACAGATAGAGATTCTCTATCGCAGAATGCCTCCAGTTACGCGTCAAAACAGATATCTGTCATCCAAAACGTCAACAATGACTTTATCGTGAATGTGAATGAAGATTTCATGAATATTTCATTAATATGTAATATTTAATATGCATATTTCAATGAAAATTTCAATATGAAACTTTCAAACCTCATCAGATGGTGGTCGATCTTCTAAACCGATTGAGTAGCCCTGAGAATCGTCGAGCATCGAATTTGATGAATAGCTAAAAATTGACTTGATTACTGTGAAATTCTTAATGGATTTAGTCAGTTAAAGGATAAAGCTAGATTAAGAAGCGAATTTAGACCTATTAGCTTTAAATCTAGACTTGTATCAGTCTTGTAGACTTGCAGAAAAGAATCTAAACCTATTAGCTTCAAATCTAGACGTGTATTGTAGTCTTGTAGACTCACAGAAAAGAATCTAGACCTATTAGCTTCAAATCTAGATTTGTATCAGTCTTGTAGTCAATTTACAGGGATAAGGGTTCATTTCAAGCTAACCTTTGGCTTTCTTAAAGCTTTATAATCCTATCTTTTTCAAATTCACTTTTCTAAATCTTTCAAAATCTTTCTCAAAACAAATAAATCACCTGTGATTGCCATAATTGTTCATATCAGTCGGTGGTGCGTCTAAATGATCGGAAAAGGAAAGTTCATGGGAAGAACCGGTGGATTGGATTGTGACTGGGATCTGAAAATGAAAATATCATCAAAATGATCGTCATTTGATAAGATTTGTTTTTGATTTAAGATGAGAAATTTGATCTTAAACACAGACACGAATACAAGCTGACAATGGTTTTGATCGTCAAGTTTTTGTTGTACAAGTACAAGCACAAGTTCTAAAGCTTAGCATTTTTGTAATCTTCTACCTTACACTATTGTAAAAGTTCTTTAAAATTAGCAAAAATGTTGGTAAATTATCTGCAGAATCGAAACAGGCTATTTGGCTGTTTAGAAAGCCTGTCTTTTCTTCTTTTTTCTTTCGTTGATAAACAACAAATTCATTCAATTGAACTACAGCTTATTTTATTAAAAAAACGAATTATTTTTCTATAAAATAACATTAAAACAGGTTTAAAATGTCTTAAGTTTGAATGTTTTTTGAGAGCTTGAATTTAGCTAATCAAAAAAAGGGACAACGACTCGATGATCGACTCGATGATACGATTTAGAACTCGACTTTAGCTAAGGAAACTTATTTTCATGTCAATAGATAAAAGATCGAGCATAAAAAGATTGATAAACCACGAAATTCTCAAAGAAATTCATTCAACCAATTTTTTCGTAGAGAAAATCCACTTCAGCTAGCTAATTTTAGAGATTTTTACGAAAAACAATTGTTTTGACTCTTGAAAGTAAACTAAAATTAACTTAAAAAGATAAAAATTAACCAAAAAACACTTTTATTTAGAGAAAACTATAGGTTAATTGATAAATTTGTTTTTTGAATGAAAACAAGGAATGAAAAAGGAATGAAAACAACCGACAACCGAATTTTATTACTAGTGCTTAGCTTTTCTTGGCTTTTATGGCTTTTTTGGCTTTTCTGGCTTTTCTTTAACCTTTCTCAGCTAAAGAGTAAAGAAAGTTATTATAATTTAATTGTAAATAACAATTCTTAAGTTAATATTAGTAAGTTTAACACTCACAACACTGCCCTCGTCTCTTGATGGTGGATGTGAGATGGCTTCTCGGACGGATGAAGCGGTTGAAACGGAAGATGATCGAGGAGAACACCAATCTGGATAGCCATCTTCCTGAAAAAGTTAGCAAAGTAAGATCTAGATGTACATTTAGAAAATTAGAGAAACCTGTGCCAGCTGCTGGGCGAACTTTCTTGATTCCAAAAAACCAACCCTTCTCACAAAAATCGACTGGGGATTTTGGCCGTTCGGCATCATCGTCCCGGGTGCAAGGGGTTGAGTGCTGATTGTTGCCTGAAATTGTTTTGTTGTTGTTGTTTGTTTGTTGAATTTGTTGACAGACTAATAAACTTTTCTGCGCAATTTTTACCTGTACCGATTGCTGGGCGAACTTTCTCGACGCTGGACAAGATTGACGATGTCTCGAGAGGTTTCTTGTCGACGAGACCTAGAAGGAAAATGTGAGTACGCTAGCATACAAATATCCAATTCCTGTTTCTTGTTTTTCTATAGATCTTTCTATAGATGTTTGTTGGAATACCGTATTTTCTCTAATAGTAGTGCACCCAGAGCGTCGTCTAAATTGATCGAAATCTCGAGAACCGCTTATCAGAACCTATCGATGTGTGATCGGAAAATGTAGCTGACGATGAGATCTAGTGGGGATTTGAGTGTTGAGCGTCTGCAAAAGCTTGGAAACCGTAAAATAGTCACCAACTCGGCTCGCCGGCTAGCACTACTATTAGAGAAAATACGGCACTTGTTTCTAATCTTTCTATATATCTTTCTATGTATGTTTCTTGGATTACTTGTTTCTTATTTTTCTATATATCTTTCTATATATCTTTCTATATACCTGTTTATTGCAATCAGGACACGTGTAAACAGCTCGATTAACCACTAGTGGAGGGGTACGTTGGGGCTGAAAGTATGTCGAGAATTCAGGAATTTCAGTGCTGATCTTAATAAATAATTATCTAAAAGTAAAGTTTAAGGGTAAAAGATGGAGTCTCTTTTTGGTCACCAGATCCAACAGAACAGCTCTTTTGAATCTTTTGGATCCGTTGCCAGCTCATGGTTCAATACCATCCGTTAATTTGATATCAAGCCAATCTATTGGAACATCTATTGCTCAAGTATTTCTCTTAAATCTAGTATTGATTGATCTGGTACGTAAATCGATCAACTCCAAAAACCACAACTTTTCCCCAGATCTAACATCTGGGAAAAGATCTGAGTGACAGATTTGATCTGTTAGCTTAACATCATTGAATTGTTGAACATCATTGAATTCCTTATTTACTGATTTATTGTACTGGAGCTATCTAGAGGCAATTCTTTTATTGAAAAAGTTACGTTTCCTAGTCTCCTAGATCTGTCAGAATCAAATCTTCTGGCTACTTACTAGATCATTCATAGTTTTTCATGATTTAATCCTTTAAAGTACTATTATAATATCAGAGCAACTAATGTGATATCAGACTAATTGTAAGTCTGGTATTCGGCGCAGATTCGGTACGTAAATCGATCAATTCTCTCCGACAACTTTCCTAGGATCAACATCCAATCAACAGCAAGTTACCGATTCATTGTTACTGGCAATAAAGCTATTAGAGACTAATCTTTCGCTACATTGATACATTTATACAATACTTTTGTAAACACTCACCAAATGTGCTAAATGTGTGCCAACTTGTCCTCCTCCTTGTCGGGCATTCGCTCCACCGTTGGCCACCATGGCGGCACGGTGTTGTTTTGTCAGTGAAAGAATTTGTGAGACGTTTCTGAAAATTTAAAATGATTGGTAAGCTTAAAGAAAAATTGGAAGAACTTAAAGAAAAATTGGAAGAACTTAAAGGACTTAAAGAACTTAAAGAACTTAAAGGACTTAAAGGACTTAAAGGACTTAAAGGACTTAAAGGACTTAAAGGACTTAAAGGACTTAAAGGACTTAAAGAACTTTAAGAAACATGTAAAGCTTTGTAAAGATTTGTAAAAATGGATTGAGCCGTAGAGGAAAAAAATTTCGAGACTATAATAGAAAATACGCAAATTTTCATTGAGAATTGAAAAATTCTGAGCTTTTTTGATTGGATTTTTGCAAAAATTCAATAAACTTTTTAATTTTAGATGATTTGATTTCAATTTTTGATTGAATTATCGATTTTTGATCGATTTTGATTGATTAATCGATCAAAAACAAAGTCAATCATGGATTGTAATCGAGAAATTCTTGATTTTCTCTGTCTTTTTTCAACTAAGCGATTCGTAATCTGGCACAGAGCACACAACTAACTGACAAACAAATCAAAGAATTCGAAAAAAGGGAAAGAGAATAGAATAAGAGAAAAGAATAAGAGAAAAGAATAAGAGAATAAGAATATGAGAAAAGAATAAGAGAAAACACGTTATGTAAACAAGAAAAAAAAGTGAATGGGAATTTAAGTGGAGGAGGATTTTAGACGCTCTACTCCATTCAATTTTCCCCCATTTTCTTTAATTCAAAATATGATTTGGTTTTTGAGGAGATTTTAAAGCCAAATGATTTACGAATAAGCTGATTTCAGCTTCTTTCTTTCAATGATATGAAATTTTCAGAAAAAATCGCTTTCAAGCAGTGGAAAGGAAAGAGTTTTTGAAAAAATGTTGAACAAATGACTGCTTTTCGACACTTTTCTAGGGGGTGGGACAAATGCGACCTTTTTTTGCGCACCTGGACATTTGCGCACCTTTTTTTTACTGGAAAAGGCTTTAGGCAAGGCCGTAGAGCTTCGAAAATATTTCGATATAAGGGAATCGTATGCGTAGATTCCGAATTTCGATAAATCAGACCTCGCTGACACGTCAAATTTGGGCTAAAAGGCAAAAACTGCGGAAAAACGTTAAGTTGCGTAGTTTTTGCCTTTTAGCTCAAATTTGAGGTCAAAGCGGGGTCTGATTTGTCGAAATTCTGAATCTACGCATACGATTCCCTCCTATGAAAACATTTTTGAAGCTCTACGACCTTTCCTAAGGCCTTTTCCAGCAAAAAAAGGTGCGTAAATGTCCAGGTGCACAAAAAAAAGGTCGCATTTTAAAAAAAAGGTCGCAAAAACCCCTCTTTTCTATACTAAAATCCTGAAATTTTCCATATTAATTGGAATTTTTCAAAAATTACATTAATTTTGATGAAAATTTATTAGAAAAATAGGAAAAAACAGCAGTTTTTCTGGTGAAAATCTCTTACCAAAAGATTTGCATCTAAAGGTTTTCAAAATGATTCTAAATTCTTTCATTTTCCTTTCAAATTGATTTTATTTCATTCAAAATGATTTCAAAATTTCAAAATGGATTATATGGATACAAAATGATTCGAAATTTAATCTCAAATTGTAAATGAAAGCGAATTTATGATTAGAAACGAGTTTCTTTAACAGTTATTTTCAGTTATGCTCAGTTCAAGTTGTTAGCTAAACAAAAATTGTCTAGAAAATTTCGTAAGAGCTGAAGTTTTTGAGGATTTTGATTGGAAACGAGTTTCTTTTTCAGTTATTTTCAGTTCAAGTTGTTAACTACAACGTTCAATTTGTTAACTACAACGTTCAAGTTGTTAACTACAACGTTCAAGTTGTTAACTACAACGTTCAAGTTGTTAACTACAACATTCAAGTTGTTAACTACAACGTTCAAGTTGTTAACTACAACGTTCAAGTTGTTAACTACAACGTCCAAGTTGTTAACTACAACGTTAAGCCTGAGCTGAAGTTTTTAAACAAAAACAAATGAATAGCACGACTTTCAAGGAGTCGAATTTTAAGGAATTTCAATCAAAATAATCATTTATTCTTTGAATGATGGAATTATATCGAAATTTTCGAATTGAGTTTAGGCTTTTTGGAGAAATAAAACCGTCTTTGTGCTTCGAAAAAATCGAAATTTTTATGTGATAAGACTTGTGCATTATTCTTTCTTCATTTTCCACTTTTTCTTTTTATGTTCCCAAAATTTTGTTTCGTTTTTGAAAAAAAAGAACAAAAGAAGGTTGATTTGAGGATAAAAAGACGAGTTTGACAGAACTGAAATTAGAAAAATTCGTGCGAAAATGATATCTTTCTGTTGAGGAGCTATGTGTTTCTGTTGAGGAGCTATGTGCTATTATCTATTACCGAAAATACTGAGAAATCGTTTCGCTTACTACAGATTGATCAGAAATATTGAAAGAAAAAACAATTTGATTGGTTTGATTTGGATTTTAATGAAAAATGTTGAAAATTGATTCGAATTTGAGTGAGATGAGGGAATTTTTCAAGCAAATTCAGCAAAACGATTAAAAATTGATTGAAAAACGATTAAAAATTGATTTTTTAGAGGTTTTGTATGTATTTGAATGGTTTCTTTAATCTTTAATCATTTACAAAAAAAGCTCTAGAGGGTTTAGAGAAAGCTAGAAAGAAGATAAAAGAGCCACGCCTAGTCGCCAAAAGCCTCGAGTTTAGCCGAAAAATTTTTTTAAATGAGGGTTTTGATGTTTTCCTTTTACAATTTTAAAGCTCTCAACCAAATCTATGACAAGACGGCGCTATTATAAGGTTTCCAAGTGGGAAAAGTTTCAATCTATGTTTTGTTTTAATTCAATTCAATTCAATTCAATTCCGGATTGATTTCTATATATGTTGTGTCCGATTTAGATTTTCGTCCGATTTAGATTACAGTCTATATCGGACGTCCGATTTAGATTCGATCTAAATCTTATACAGATTGAACAATAATACGTCTTATATAGATTGAACAATAATATAAACATGCTTAATATATGGTTTTCAATCTATATAAGATTTAGATTGAACCGAAATCGGACGGAAATCTAAATCGGACACAACATATATATATAAATCAATTATAAATGCAAATATAATATAAAAAGTAATAAACTAAAATCTAAATTAAGATTTTATATTAATTCCAATAGATCCAATAGTCCGATAGATCTCAAAAGTCTCGAAAAAAAGCTTTGAATTTTCAGAAATAGTCACAAAATCAATAATTTTATATAAACGATAACATTTATCGTTAAGAAAATCAATTATTTTATTTATAAATGATAAAAGTTAAAGAAGGAAATGTTTAAAACGAATTTTGAAATGAACTATTTGATTGAATCGATAGAAATTCAATCGAAAGAATCGTTCTTTCTCCATCGCTAAAGATCTAGACGAGTTTTCTCCGACACAAAAAAAAAGTCAAACAAGCGATGAATCAGCAAGAAAAGAAAAGAATATTTAAAGAACATTTAAAGAACATTTAAAGAACATTTAAAGAATATTTAAAGAATAAAAAAGTTTACTAAACATTTGAGAATTTGGAAATCCAAAATTTGACTTCCAAGATTTGACTTCCAAGATTTGATTTCAAAGATCCAAAAAATGAATGGGAATTTAAGATCTAAAAGCTTTCAAGGAATTCGTCCAACAGTGTGGTTTAAGGAAGAGAAATTTCATCCTTGGACCATATCCAACCATGGCTCACTGGCTGTCCAACCATGGCTCACAGCATGCTTGTCTGTCGGTCAAACGGCTCAAAGCCACAACCCTGGTTCAATCCTGCTTGAAATTGAACCAGGGTTTGAACCAGGGAGATGACCGTCAAGTGGAGTGAACCGGAATCTTTTTGAGGGAAAATTGATAGAATTTTTGTTTTTGTAAATCATCAAAACCTGATTTTCACTGATTTTACTTCGTTTTTTTCTTATCATTAACCAAAATTCGTTCAAAATACTCATAAAAAGCGTCAAAAATATGCGACAAAGGCTTTTTGATAAGAGTGCGCCATTTTTCAAAGAAAAAAAAGTTCAAGCTTTAAACCGGTTTTCGAGAAAAATCGAGAAAAATCGAGAAAATTTGAAAGAGATGACCGTCAAGTGGAGTGAACCGGAATCTTTTTGAGGGGAAATTGATAGAATCAGATTCGGATTCGGAAAAACGAAAAGGTTTTGTCGGAAAAATTGCGCAATCACACCATTTATGGAGATTGGGAAAGGGAAAAAGGCAGAAAACTTGAAGCTTTTTATCGAGCCGGGAACTGGATTTGGATGGAAATCGGGAAAATGAATGGATTTTTGCGATGTTGAGAGGCAAAAAGAGAACAAGCGATTGAAATTTCGGAAAAGAAGAAGAAAATTCGCCAAGGAATAGATTGGGGATACGGGAAAATTGGTACTTTTGAATGTTTGAATCCTTTTGGAAAACTTTTAAACTCTCCACAAAGCTGACTTGGATTTAGAAAAGCTTTGAAATCATCACGATCTACAGCAATTCTTTTTACCCACTTTTAGCTCTATTTAATGACTGAATTAGTCTACAGTAAAGCTACTGTACCAATTAGCATACAGTAAGTTTACAGAAACAATTAGTCTATAGTAAAGCTACTGTATCAGTAGCAGACAGTAAGCCTACTGTATCAATTAGCCTACTGTTAGCCTAAACCTGCTATGAATCAAGGACTCTAGGATCTGCAAACCTGGTCAGGCTAGGCTAGTCGAACTTCTGATAGACCTGAGCTGGGTCTGCAAGGGCTATCAGATATTTTATACCCGCCCCGCCTCTTTTACCATTATCAATCCAACTTTGAGCTCAAATTTTTTGGCGTTCGGTTGTTCGATTTAAATATTCTTTATATCATTGGATGCGCCAAGTCTTTCTCTATCGATTTAGATAAAAACTATTTAAATTGAACAGCGCAATCCCAAGAAATTTGAGCTCAAAGCTGGATTGCCAATGGGACGCGGATCAAATGTCCCAAAAGCCCA